TCTGATTTATTCAGATAACTCAAAAAATGAGAACTTGAATAGATTAGGCGCAGGCATTGCTTATACTGAAGATAATATTAATTTTATCTCAGATTTCTGAAATCTAGGCTCTGAATGTGAAGTCTTTGATGCTGAACTATTTGCAATAGTGAAAGCTTTCAAACTCATTAAAATAAAATCTCATAAAAGAGGAAATTATTTGAAAGAGATATGAATATTCTCTGATAGTCAAGCTGCTTTAAAAAGACTTAGAAATAGTCAGATTCATAATGATCAAATGAATCTTGAACTGATCTTAAACTCTGTTTTGAAAATTCAAAAGAGAAGAATATCAAAGCTGATAATTCATCTGCACTGAGTTCCTGCTTATATGAATATTCATGACAATGAATTGACTGATTCAGCTGCAAAAAAGAGTGCAGAATTAAGCAGATCTATTCAAAAAATTGTGTCCTGGTCTTTTATAAGAAGAAAAATAAAAGAATCTTATTTAGACAAGTGAAATGAAAGCTGGCAGAAACAAAAGAAGAGTATACATTATTTAAGATTTGAAATAAAACTCAAGTGGAAATCTTGTTCAATTAAATGTAAAAAGAAAATATTCTCATCTATAATACAGCTGAAACTAGAACATGACTATTTCAAATCTTATATACAAAGATTTGATGATAGATTTGACTCAATAGAATGCTCATTCTGCAATACAAATGAGAATTCTGAGTATATTGTAATGTACTGTGCATTATACAACAGTCTCAGAGTCAGATTGAAAGAGAAGTATAATCTAAATCAATTAAATATGAGATTCTTATTCTCAACTGAGACAGGAATTAAATACTTAATAGACTTTCTATCAGAAACTCAAGCAGCTACAAGAAAATGACTAAATTCAGAATTATCTGAATATGAAGAGGAGGAAATCAATCAGATATAATCTGTTAAAACAGCTATACACTCTCTTTTAATAATTTGTTTTGTTATAGTCTCTCTTTACTTTATCTTTTTCTTTATCTTTTTCTTTCAATTTCTTTCTATCTATCTGTTTAATGTATCTATCTTTGAGACTGTGTTCTTTTTCTCTTTTCTTTTATCATGATATTGTCAAATAATTTCAAAGTATCAAAAGATGTTAAAACACTGCAATTTGTAAACAGTTTTTGTATTCTAAGCTGGAATTTTCTGATTTTGTATATCTGAAATTGATGAATGTATAATAGTTAACTTTACAGACATAGAAAAAACCCTGAGAACTAAAGTTCTCAGGTAGATGTCATAGTCTCTGACTGTATACATCTATAATTGAAGAATAATAATAATAATAATAACTAATTTTTTATTTATTATTATTATTTTTTTTTAAAAAAAAACACTTCTATAACTTATAAACTATTTAATTATTTTTAATAAATTTAATAGTTATTTCTAAGAGACTTTAAGTATAATTTAATTTTCTTTTGTGATTCAAAGATTGCTTAAGCCAGCGTACAATTACAGGCGTACACCGGCTTCTTATATATTGTAATATTGTACACTAAATTAATTAGCGGCTGCTATGACCCCTTTACACTCATACATATATACTAGTAGTTCGGAAGCAGCTGTGTTATTATCTGATGATTGTACATTCTTTCAAACCACATTCTCTCTCATCAGATTCAGTCACGCTCATGTGATCATGTTGTACACTCTAGCTTCATGTGAATTAGCTTATCACTAGTATTTCACAATTATGTGATCTATCTCTGATTCAGCTAGTGTTCTGTATATACTCTCACAAAGAAACTTCCACTATATTACATCACTCATTCACTAACTTTTCTCATTCTTCAATCATCTTCTTCATTATTATTATCATTAAATGCTACTATCTTATTCAAGATTTCTACTTCTTCTTCTGTTCAACTCTTTCTATCTGTTCATCTATTACATTATATGTGTTTCTGACAATGACTCTCTGTTCTTATAACAAGTGTTATTATAGTGCTTATACTGAGCAGTTTATTAGCAGTAAGTATAATGTGTTATGAAATGTGATCAGAACTTGTTTATCTTCTAATAATTACCAGAATGTATTATCATGAATGACACATCTTCTTCATCTTCTTATACATCTCTGACTGTTTTCTTCAGTGAGTTTCTGATCATGTTTTCTGACATGATTTTACATGAATACAGATACTGATATATTTGTTTTTATTTATATAGAATCTTCACATGTTGACAGATCTGTGTCTGTCAATGATAGTGAACTTAATATTGAATTCTTGATTGAGAACTTGAAGAATATGATAATGAAGAAATTGTCTGTGTTATATGTGACTGAGTCTTTCATATTCTTTCTTACTTCTTCTGCTGCTTCTTTCTCTGCTGCTTCTCAATCTTCTATACTTGTTTCTGTGTCTGATTCTCCCGCTCCTGCTACCTCTGTTTCTGTGATCTCTGGTTTTACTATCTCTGCTTTCATTATCAGCTCTCCCTGTTTCAAGGAGATATTGTGTAGACTTAATGAATCATATTTCTCAGCATGTACACTTCTGTTCTTCTTACTGACTCTCAGAACAATTTATTGTACAAAGACTGTATACAATATAACTATCTAAAGCTTGATTGTGAATGCTGATTATTATATTCATTTTAAATATTCATAATGAGATAATTATTCATTTATATCAGAGAATCACTCTCTCTCTCAACAGTGTTTAAATTATAAGTCTTTTCATTTTTCATCTTTTCTTTCTGACACTGATTTTCCTATTCTTAGAGAAAATTGTTATGAGTTTTACTATGCATGAAGTCATGATGTTCACAGATATTAAGAAGCTTTTCACAATTATAAAGTTCAATATTATAAGAACATCTGCTCTAATGAATTTCTTTGAAATAATAGATCTGTATCAGTCTATTCTCTGATGTCTGTCATTCAACTTCATGATACAGGTGAAAGATATCCATGTTTTCAAGAATGAGAATACAGATATCATACTCTTTTACACTCACAGATGTAAGGCTTGTATGCCTTATCTGAGATATTATTGTGAGAATGAGCTGTTCACACACTGTATTCTGCTTTCTACATTTCTCTGTATTCTGCTCTCTCTTTCTGAGAAGTCTCATGCATGTTATAATTGTGTATATAATTCTAAGATCAGCAGATATTTGTTCAGTAATTGTTATCTCTGCTTTTACAGTTTTATATGCTAATAATAGTTCTTAGTTGCTCTGACATCAGAGGTCATTTTAATCAAAGATGACAATACTGCTAAGACTACTCTCTTCTGCTCTTAAGCTTCTTCTGTTGCTTTCTCTTCCTCTTCTGTAGAGAAGGCTGTGCACATATCAGATTGTAAGTATTTAGCCCTGAGTGACTTCTGTTATTTGTTCAGTTCTGTGTCTCTCTCTTCTGTTTCTTCTGTCTTTATCTTCTCTCTCTTAACTTCTGATTCTGTGAGTTTCATGCTCTTCTTCAATTTCTCTATACATATATATATGCATTTCTATATTAGCATTTCAGCCAATCTTGTGATAAATGATATTAATGTCATACATAGAGCAGTAGAGAAATCAGAGACATGTATGATGATGTTATAAGAGTGACTTACAGCTCTTGAATTCCTTGCAGACCTTGAGTTTTAAGATTTCCTTTATTTTTGATGTTTTTTGAATGACATGATGTTGAAAATAGATTAAATGTGTGATGTATGAAAATGAATGAGATATGTATGATAATATTTGTCTTTTACAGCTGATTCTTACAGTTGATAATCAATTCATTATTTCTTTTCTTACACTTTTTCTTTATCTGCTAGTCACTACTCTTATATGATCTCTATATAATACAGTGTTCAGTGACTAGATTCAGCAGCTTTCATCTTTTATAATTCTATCTCACACATTATACTGTCTCTCTTCACTCACTCAGATCACTACAGTGAACAGCTTATTAAAACTAATCTCACTCAATCTCTGAGTATTCTTAGAGATTGAGATGATGTGATGTGGCGGAACCGAAGCGGTGGCTAGTCGGCGGCGACATGTAGAGATAGTTGTTTGAGAAGCTGTATGAGTGAGCTTGACTATCTTGCTTGAATAGTGAGCTCATAGGCTACAGAGTTATTGTGAGGATATCACAGATATGATACTTAGTATACTAAGAAGATTGTATGAGACACACAGTAACTCTTATATATATTTCAGTCAGAGTAAAATGAATCACTGGCTTCTTTGATAAGAAGCCAGTATCTAACTATTCTATATAGACAATGAGTGAATACTCTTCTCTCATTTCATAAGTGAGAATAGCTGAAGTGATATCTCAGCAGTGTCTCATTATTAAGAAAGAGTAATCTGCTGATCTTATATAGAAGTGAGGTTCTTATATTCATTAATCAGATCTTTCTATGATATATCTGAATGATGTCATAGAGCAGTTGAAAACTGATTTGAACAGAATGAAATTATTCATATGAAAGTAATGAGCTGTGTGAAACTGTAACAGAGTCTTGACATGACTGAGAGTGTGATAATGTTCTTCTCTTTAAGAGCATAGTCTCTATACTCTCAAGATTACTGAATTAGGAATTATCTTTGTTGTATAGCAACAGTTATCAATTGATTGACAGCACATGTACTGCACATGATACAAAGAAATAGATGAGTTTTTCTGCTGACTGTATAGGTCTTTCTTTTTCCATCATCATTCAAATCAAACATGTGATAAGTGAGTTTCTTATATATCAATTTGAAATGTGAAAAACATAGTTAACAAGTGACTTACAGATCTCTCAACATATTTCATTCTATGTATAAAATTCCCTGCAAAAGTGATGTGTTTTAGAGACAAAGCTAACAGTAGTGACAGAATTTTTTAAAAAGATTCTCTCTCTTATGAAACATTTTTCTTTCTTCTCTCTCTCAATCACAACAGTGAGTGTATGAGAGTATTGTTCTTGAAGGACAATCAAGGACTTATTCTGACATTTTCTAGTGAGTAACAAATGTCTTCATGGTGCAGCAGCAGCCTCCATGACTGTCAAGAAAGCCAGGTTGAAGGTGAAGACAGTGATGTCAATGAGCTGCAGAAGCACTGCTCTCATTGTTACATCTTCTTCTTCTTCTGCTTCTTTTACAGCTGTGATGATAGTCACTGTGCCTTGCAGTGAGATGTCATCTCTTCTGTCAGTTAGTTCATCCATGTCTGGTCTGTCCTCTGCCCCTCTCACTGCTGTTGCAACACTGCCTTCTCTCTCAGTCAATACAGTGATGTATGACCCTGTGTAGTCATTCAGAGAGAAATCTGGAAAGAGCTTGATTCTGGGAACAGTGGCTTTAAGAAGCTTAATTCATAGTTCCTCTCTCACAGCATATCTGAGCCCTGCTTGAGATGCTGCTGAGTTGAGTTCACAGAGTTTCTCAGTTTCTTCATCTTCTCTCTGTGAGAAGGCTCTGATGCAGTCTCTAGCCAGCACTGCTACTTGTCTGCACTGTATTAAGCAGCTGAAGAAGAGAGGGATTTTATGCATCTGCTTCTTCTCTCACTTCTATTATTTTCATTATACTTGCAATAATAACTTCTGTCTCTCTGTAAGTATCATCTCACAGAAAGATGTTGTATCAGTTCTGATAAGAAGTCTAGATACTCAAGCAGTACAGAGCAAGAATCTCAGAGCTTCAAGTATTGACAGATTCTGTTAAGACTGAGAAGGTTCTTCTTACTCATCTACAAAAGAAGATGAAAGTGTGAATCTCTGAGATGAAAAAATATCTCAGAATGACTGATCTCAAGAAGAGATCAGTCAGTGCTGCTGTTGAAAGTGTCACAGAGATTAATCACTGATTAAAGAGAATCTCACTTCAGTTGAAGCAGATGACTGAGATGCTTTGTAAGTTAATAAATTGACACTTTCAGCATCTCTTATACTCTTCTATAGCATGCTTCTCTGCAGTGCTGTAGTGCTAACTTCTCAGCAGATAAAGATACTGATACTGAAGACTTCAACAGTGAAGAATGAGTTTGATAAGAGTGTGATTATTGATAAGTAGACTCTGATCTCTCTTTTTACTTTTTCAGTGAGCTGCAGCTCTATTAGAATAGCAGCAGCCTGCAGATCAATAATATTAATCTTTTTATTAATTTTCAATATTCTCTTTCTCTAATCACTTCAGGAATTTTACACTTGTGTAGTCTCATTAAACTTCTAAAAACCCTTTAAGAGAAAATAGAAGAAGAGTGCTATAGAGTCTATAAGACATCAGCTCATCACTGTAAGATCATCTCTAAAAAAATCCTTTGAGAAAAATGAGAAGTCTTAAGCAGCATTTCTTACTCAATATCTCTGATATGTAACAGAGCAGTCTCTACTAGCTGTCTCATAGATTGCAATCTCTTTCTCAACATTTTTCAAATGCTCAAGCAGTTCTCATGAATTCTCTGACAATGAATAATCTTCTTATTTAATGAGATATTGAAGCTTATCATAATATATTCACTTATTCAATATTTTCTTCATAAGATATTCAGTATCACTCTCAATCTTGATATCATTCAGTCAAGATGACTCTGTCTCAGAGTATTACTTATAGAGCTTCAAATAGAAAATGTGAAAAACAGAATGAATTGATTTCAATTCTGTGAATAATTTTAACTCATATATCTGCTTACTTATCACTCTTATTATCAGAAAAGATCCTAGTCACTGCTCACTGAGCTTCTTACACAGTCTTATTATCTTGATATTCTTTGCTGAAAGTAACACTTGATTCTCTATCAAGAACTTCATCAGAAGATGTTTTCAATTGTAGTATTTCATCTGCTACTTCTAAGCACAGTGAATACTTTTTATCATCTTCTTATGAATTTTATTCAAAAGTTTCAATCTCACTTTTACTTCTAGCACTGAGAGATACTTCATTCTCTGTATCTGTTCAATATTCTGACTGTCTATTTCTCTCTTTGAAATATCATCTGTGACATCACTGAGTAATGAAGAATTATATTCATAATAAGCATAGAAAGAAGATATCTTTAAGATTGCATTCTTTATATTGTTATATACAAATTCAGCAGTTAGAAGGTATTTGAGTTAATCATTCTGATAATATGAACAGAACACTCAAAGATGCTGTTCTAGTGTCTGATTCTAGTGTTCAGTCTGGCCATCAGTCTGTGAATGAAAAGTGATACTGAGAAGACATCTTATTATAAGATAATAGCAAAAAGCTGATCAGTACTTGCTGATGAAGAGAAATTCTCAATCTGTTATCAATGATTTCAGAGCACTGTGATCACAAATGATGATATTTAAAAACAGGTCAGTCAATTCAGAAGCTTTAATCTTTTTATAAATAGAGATATATCTGATTATCTTCATGAAGCAGTCAACAATGACCAAAATTGAGTCATATTCTTTGACTCTTGTTGACTTCAGCAGGTCAACTATGAAATTCATCAATAGATTCTATCATGAGTTCTTTGAAATAGACAGTGATATCAACTCACTGTATTACTTATACTGCAGAATCTTTATTCTTTGACAGATATTATAAGTTTTAATATACTCTTTGACATCTATCTGAAGCTTATCTCAAGTGTATTTATATTTTAGAAGCTTCTCAGTCTTCTCTAATCTGAAGTACTCTGTATGAGAATCATTATGATGAATTCTCAATAACTTCTGACACACTGCTCTACTATGAGAAATGAAGACTGAACTATTCAGCAGTAGAAGTTCACATTCTTCTAGTTATCAGTAACTTGATTTCTTAGCAGTATTATCTCACTCAGAGTCTGTCTCTTTCAAGTTCAAATCAGACTCTTTCTTCTTTAACTTCTGAATTCAAGCTGCAGTAGAGGCATTCTTCTTCTGTAATTTATCAATGAATTTTAAAAGTAGTCAGATTGAAAGATTATAGACTATTTCATTCTTTATTAATTCAATGATTACAAGATATGATACAAGAAGCTCATGATCTTCAGTGTCAGTCTCTCACAGAGATCTGAGTTCTCTTTCATCTTCTATACTGAGTCACACAGCTGTCTCTTCAGCACTGTTTCTGAGCTTTAGAGAATCTCAACTCTCTGCAGCCAGCTTCTTCTGCAGTGATAATAGAGGTTCTTTTATAGAATTCTTCTTCATATTAACAATATTATAATCAGGTCATCTAGACAGTGTGTCAGTGAAATTAAGCTGATCTGAATGATATCAGATATAGAAATCATACTCTGAAAGCAGCTTCATTCACCTGGCTTGACATTCTGTCAAGCTCTTTGTTATCAAGAAGTAACACAGATTTGCATGATCAGTGAGAACTTACACTGAGTACTTACTACTCTGAAGATAATGTCATCAGATCTTAAAGAATTCAATAATTATTAACATTTTCTAATCATGAGTATCATATCTTCTCTGCATGAGTGATAACTTCTTGAAGAAGAAGATCACTGATCTTCATTCACAGTATCTTATAAACTTCATGAAAAAGTCTTCTCTCATAGATAATTCATTGCCTGTTTCTTCAGAAGTGATTATTCTCTGATTCTTTTAACATTGAAAGATCTTCAGTGTCAACTGTGAAAAGATTTCACAGATCTCATTTCTGAATGCATCAGTCTCACACTGACTGAGTAAGTCAGAATTAAAGTGATTCAGCATTATGACATCTGTGAAAGCTTGTTTCAATTCTGCAAATGCCTGTGTGATATCTTGAGTGAGAATAAACAGTTTCATTTTCCTGTCTTTCACACTTCTCTTCAACAGATCTGTAAGAGAGACAGTAATTCATGAATATATATAGATGAATCATCTGTAGAAATTCACAAATTCTAGAAATATCTGCATCTCACAGTACATCTATGACACTGGTCAGTTCTCAATGATGAAGACTCAGCTTCTGTTCATTGAAATGCCATTCATCTTAATAATATAACCTAAGAAATCAATCTCCTGCATGTAGAACAAGCATTTTTCAGTGTTTGCATAGAGTTAATACTGTCTCAAGCAACTCAACACTTCTCAAACATGAGTATCATGTTCTTTCTTCATTTTTGAGAAGATTAGAATGTCATTCAAGTATACTATGCAGAAGACATTGACAAGGCCTCACAGTATCTCATTTATATAGGTCTGGAAGATGGCTGAAGCATTACAAAGATTAAAAGATAAAACAAGATATTCAAAATTGCTGTACTTAATACAAAAAGCTGTTTTTCAAATGTCATCTTTATTAACTCTGATTCTATGATAGGCATTCTGTATATCAATCTTTGAGAACATCTTTGCTTCAGATAATCAATCAATCATCTTGTTAATTAACAGTAATGAATAGTGATTTTTAATCATCATCTTATTGAGGTCTCTGTAGTCTACATATAGACATAGTCTATCATTCTTCTTGAGTACAAAGAGTATAGGTGTCTCTGCTGAACTCTTTGATGAATATATTCAGTTCTTTAATTGTGCTTCTTCAAGATATTTGCACAGAACATTCAACTTCTTTACAGATAAGTTATAAAGAGACCTGTACAGTGCTGTTGCATCATCTTTAAGATAAATCTTATATTGTATCTTGATATCAGAAAACTTCACTACTTCTCTTTCTGAAAAGATATTCTTAAAATCTGTAAAGAGACATTGTATTCATCTGTCTTTAATAACAGATACTGCTGCTAATCTTGCAGTGAGAATGATGACTTCTTCATCTGTTCTCAAGTTTCAATCATCTACTACACAGTATATCAACTCAATCTTTTTCTTAAGATTCTTTCAATGAAACTCTTCAGGTTTCTCTATCACTGTCTCTTCATTAGTGAGATGATATTATCACATCTGAGTGACTCAGTTAATAAGAGAATTGTTTTCTCTCAATCATGAGAGACCTAGAATGACATTCTCATCTATGATATTAACTGCATGAAGAAGCAGACTGCTCTTCTTAAAGATTTCTTCTGAGTCTGTGATCACACACTTTGCTTAAATTATGTCAAAACAGTGATATTTCATTTCATCTGTAAATTTCATATGATCTGATGAATCTATCTTCTTTCAATTCTTTATCAAAGAAAAGAAATAGAATATGAAGTTAGTATTCACTCTGAAGTCAAGTAGACATCTCACTAATATCTTCTCATTCAGAGTATACATTGTGATTGTAACATGAACTCAGAGATGTGAGAATTATCAATTCTTTTCTTTCTCTT